CTGCTGTTGCTGCTGTTGCTGCTGCAGCACCACGACGAGACACAGGACGAGATCCTGCTGCTGCTGCTGCTCCTGCTGCTGCTGCTGCTGCTGCTGCTATCGCTTGATGCCCCTTCTTTGTGCTGCTGCTGCGATCATCGTCTCCTCCGCTCTCATTCGAACGGAGCCTGCCTGACTGCTGCTGCTGCTGCTGCTGCTGCTGCTGCTGCTGCTGCTGCTGCTGCTGAGGATGATGATGAAGAGGTTGTTGTTGATGCTGCGGATGCTGCAGCTGCTGCAGGTGCTGTGACGTGGGTACGCTTGTGAGCCTCGGGGTGATATATCCTGTGCTGCTGCTGCTGCTGCTGCTGCTGCTGCTGTTGCTGCTGCTGCTGCTGCTTGGCTGCAGCTGCTGCATGCTCTTCTCTGTATTCACTATACAGGGTTTATATAAAGCGTTGCAGCGAGCGAGAGGAGCCCGAGGGGAGGAGGGGGGGGGCCTGAAGTGGCCCCCCGGGCGTGCTGCTCTGCGCCGGTGACCTGCTGCTGCTGCTGCTGGCGCTGCTGCTGCTGCTGCTGCTGCTCCTGCTGCTCCTGCTGCTGCTGCAGTGTCGTCATGATGATCATCGGGGTGATGAGGCCTCGAGGGGAGACTAGCGGAGGACTTGGGGGGATTTCTTCTTGCTTGGTTTTGCTGCTGTGTGCCAGCTGCTGCTGCTGCTGCTGGACTTGCTGCTGGACTTGCTGCTGCTGCTGCTGGTGCTGCTGGTGCTGCTGCTGCTGCTGCTGCTGGGTGGCGAGGTGTTGGAGGAGTGCCCAGGGGCTCTTCGCTTCCCCACGGTTTCATGGCTGTGGGGTGTACAGGCAGCAGCAGTGCTGCTGCGTTTGTGTATATATACTTGTGCTGCTGTATGTGTTTATTTTTGTGTTTATTTTTATTTTTGTTTTTGTTTTTGTTTTTGTTTCTGTTTGGGTTATTAGTTTTTTATTTTTTTTTGTTGAAGCTAAGAAAACGCGGAATTTTGCGGTGTATATACAGCGGAGAAAGAGAGAAAGAAAAGAGGATATTTCGGGTGTATACATGACTCAGTACCAAAACAAACAAAAAAAGAAAAATAAATAAAAATAAATAAAAATAAATTACACAAAAACACACATGCAAATAAAGATGACAATTAGGCGGAATATACGCCTCTCAAGCTACGCTACAGCACCTCGCCCCCATCACAAGAATAAACCCTAAACCCTAAACCCTAAACCCTAAACCCTAAACCCTAAACCCTAAACCCTAAGTATTCAACAACAAACAAATACCAACACACACAAACAACCCCAGGCGACGATGGTCCTGGGTGATGGGGGAAACTAGAAAAGGCTGTAAACCCAAAAGATGAATAAATAGAAGCAGAAAGAGAAAGAGAAAATGTGAGGGTTTATCTGTGTGGTGGTGCGCTGTGCTGCTGCTGCAGCAGCAAGCTGCTGCTGCTGCGGCTTGAGGGGAAAGGAAAGCGGCAATAAAGAAAGCGGAAATGAAGAGAAAGCTGCAGCTTTCTCAGCCTGACATGAAACGGAATAAAAAAAAAAAAAAGAAATGCAAAAACAACTGCGGCGGCTGCAACAGCACAGCGGCAGCACAGGCGGATGGCTCAGCTGTATATATATGTATATATATATATAAATACAGCTGTCGCCTCAGAAAGAAACAACTCGAAATTCAGAAATAAACGGAAATATAGATTTAAATGACCTATTGAACCATGAAGCCAAACGGAAAACAAAAGAAGAAAAACAGTTTATATGAAAGCGCATGCAACAGATACCGACGACGGCGGCCCCTTATCGAGGGCTATAGGGGGGAGAAAGCAAGAAAAAAAAGCTACAAATTCAGAATTTTAATGGAAATATAAAAGAAAAAATAAAGAAATAAATATATTTATGAATAAACCATCAAGAAACCACACAGGAGCCAACGGTCTGCCGATGGACATGCATGCTGCTGCAGGATTCAAGTTGAACAGAAACACGATCTTCATCATTTTCTAACAAATTTTTGTTTTTTTTGAGTTTCTTTTGTGTTTTTCATGATTATAAATATAATTATAATATAATTAAAAAAAAATTACTTTTATTTTTTGCTTATATGATGAGCTGGGAGAGGCGAACAGCTGACCAGCCAGCCTCAGCACGCCCCTAACAACAAACAAGGGTGCGGCGTGTTCACGAACAAATGCTGCATAAAAATTTATGTTTCTTCTAAATTCAATTAATTATTTGAAACAAATAATTCAGTTTTTTCAAAAGAAGTTCAAAAAAAAACACCAAAAAGCTCAGAATGCAGTAAGCGAGTCCTGGTGCTGCGCAACGATCATCATGCGGTGGTGCGGCAAAGATGAACTGCACGGAAACTTGTGGGTTTTTCGTTCTCTGAAAATAATATTATTTTAAATTAAATAAATATAATTCAATTATAATTATAATAATTATAATAAAGCCCCAAATCCCTGCTCAATGCCGCTAAAAAACGAGGAGTTTCCAGCTCGCTTGCGTGCTGCTGGCGGCTGAGTACCACATGCTGCTAGTTCTTGTTCATGGAGAAAGCAAAAGAAACTTCAAAAAATATTTTATTTTATTTGTTTTTCTTCAACTGCTGCTTCGTTCTGCTGCAGCAGCAGCAGCAGAAGAAGCAGAAGAACCACGCAACCGCTGCTGCAGCTGCTGCTGCTGCTGCTGCAGTGTACGAGCGATCATTATAGGGGTTTTATTTTACTTCTTTTAGCTGTCTTCTGCATTATTATATTTCTTTCTTTTTGTATTCTTGCAGCTGCATTTGCTTAAGTTTGTTTCTTTCATCTCCTCTTTCTTCTTTAACTCCTTTTATTCACTTTATATTTATCCCCATGAACACCATACATACCATATATATATATATATATATATATATATATATATATATATATATATATATATATATCGCCACCCTATAA